ACGGTAATATCTTGTACGCGTAGACATATATATGTGTGTATGTGTATGTGTGTGTGTGTGTATAGTATTGTGATTACAACAGATCGGACGATCAACGTGCATCGCCGCCGATGTCCCGTGCACAATATTATTATGTACGACGGAGATGGGACTACAGAAAAAAAACCGGTACACACGATGCCTGGAAAACAACGTGAGTAATATATCATTTCCCGCCGACGACGGCGAGGCCGGGCGGACTGCGGCGGCACATAATACGATTAGACGGAGAAAGTGGGGGCCGGGGCGGGGAGGGGGAGGAAATCGGAATAGATGAAAATTTCTGATTTGCATACGCGCACGTATAATGTATTATAATATCGCAGCACGTATACGCCGCCGAGCGGACGATTGTATACCGGACGTTTCGGGGGGGGGGGGGGGGCGGCGCAATTTACTCGTTAAGTTTTTATTTTTGTGTTTTTTACACCGTGTGTGTATCGCGCGCGACAGACGTATTAAACGTATTTATACGCAGACTCCCGGTACCGTATTTACAGACCGTATTCGATTTCGAACCGAGCCGAAACGCGTAGCCGAATCGATTACGGGCGGTTTTACGAAAAATAATAATATATCCACGACCCGTCGGCGTCCGAACCCGACAATGCTTCGGTCGTTACACAGTATTGCGGCGGGAGCTGATCGGGAACGTACGTGTTTCGGTGCGTACACTTACGCGCGATAAATCATAGTCGATACGTGTAGCGGTTTTTACACCGTGTGTTCATTAAACGCGTATTGTACAATATGATCAACAACGGAAAGAAAAACGTGCCCCTCCCATTCCCCCCTCCCTCTATCGGGCACTGAATCACAACAAAAAGCTACAGTAGCGTCAGATCCTTCAGCATATTCGATGTAACCGTTTTCGCCGATTAAATATCACCGTTACGTTACTAAATTTAAAATCGATTCATAATTGTCTATGATGTTTTATGGTCAAAACCGTTCACGATACTACCTGATTTGCGTATACAGGCGCACCTGTAATTATATCGGTGTGGTGTACGGAACAGACGAGCCGTCAAGTCCATTACGAAAAAACTCCCGAATTTCCCAGTGGGCTGATTCGGGCTTCCTTGCAGTAGTTAGTGTCATAAGCCTAAAACCTAGTCGATGAAAAACCGCGACGGGTTACGTATTTATATGTGTGCATACCACTTGGTTCGGACTCGGATACGGTCTGTAAATACGCTCACCGACACCGCACACTTTACACGCGTGATCGTATAGTATTCTAAAAAGACGAGGCGGTAAAAAAAAAAAAAAGATGTAATCATAATATTATTACTAATCCGCCGCCACCGCACGCGTTTTGGTTGCACCGTATTATATGACTTATGCGCATGCTGTATATTATTATATCGAAATATATAATATAGTCGGTGTTTGTGTCGACAACGAAATTAAAAAATTTACTGAGATTCACACAATCCGCACACGTGCGTAGGTATACAGTAAGTTAAAAAAATTCAATAATATTATTCCTGTGTCCGCTGCAGTGACGTGCTCAAGAATTATTGTTGTTGGGAGGAGATTTAGTAAATAATAATCACGATTCATGAATTATTAATCGCTGAATTTTCTTCGGTTCAAGAAAGCTAATATTTGTATATTCAAACTTTTCCCCTTGTAATATTTAACTCAAATATAATATACGAGATATAATTTTAAAATGAAATTAATAAATTAATAATCATATTTCATTGACCAAAAAACAATATTATTCGTTTAAATCGACCAAAAAAAATTAATTTTTTTTGAAAATCGGTTACTTATAAAGAACTATGACTCAAGGAGAGCCAAACTATTATTAGTAAATTCGACTTCGTTTTTTGAAATTCCTTGCTTCAGCTATAAACTCTTTTTATCTCTTTCTTGACACTGTACTTGTGTAGCATACGCACTTACTACATTTAATACTTTTTTATTATTTTCACATTGTTTTCACTGCATTATCTTTCTTAGTATAGATGCATCGCTCTACTTCTAAATTTCTATCTACTATTATTCCCACGGCATTCCTTTTTTTAGTCATATCTAAATATATTATTTTATAACCCTCTCTAACCACGAAATAATAAGTTATACAATTTGCATAACATTTAACTTCGTTATTTCACTCCTGGCACGCCAATTTTTCGACACATGTAAACGTCCTTCCAATTTACGGCTTCACTAAATTATGGGATGAAATATTTGTCGGTACTCTTTTTTCCGCAATGAAAACCCAAAATATAAGTTACATATCTCTTGTTACGTATAATACTGTTGATAGTTCTGCACGCAGTTCGTAACTTTATATAGGTACATTACATATAAGTGTATTCGGTGAAAATTTCAGTTATTATTCAATTCGAATTTTTATTGAATTGGAAAAAAAAGACAACGTCTAAACAAATTTCCCACCGAATTACGCCATTGAACGAGAAAAATTAAAAAAAAAAAAACCAAACAAACTGTCGTCCACGATGGAAATACAATATTATTATAATAAATCTTGACCATTCATATTCATATTACAATATTCCGCAACACGGGTAACGTCGACATCGCTGCAGGAAATTAGCATAATTAATCGAGTGTCGTAAAATCACACGGCCCGATGGCGGCCACGTGATGTGTTTTATGAGAAAGAAAAAAAAAAAAGATAATAAATAAAAACGTATTACCTATGTATTACTTTCGCGTATCGAATTCGTTATGATTATGATTATTAATTTTTTTTATTATTATTATTATTCTCTCAAACTCGTATTATAATATAAAACTGGAAACTACTAGTCTTAAGTCAAGGTCGGGTAGGTTTTTTTTTGTTTGTTTTTTATTACAATTTTATACCTATGCCTACAGGAGATGATGCTGCACAGTGGTGCGTATGCATGTTAAGCGAACAACGACAGTTTTTTTAATCGATCGAAACATCGCCGTCGTTTGTGATGTTTCGGCCGAGACTCGATAGTTTTAAAAAGTGTTGCACGCGTTTTTTATAATAATATTATTTTAAAACCAGTCGAATAATACTGGAATCGTATCAAAATATAATGTTAATATCGACCAAAACGTTTTCGAACGACTTTTATAAAAACGAGAAAGGAATACGAAAAATAATTAAGAAAATACAAAAAGAACTTAATTAATTTATATTTTTATGGTAGTTAAGGCACTAAAAACGATCCTGTAATAATCGATAGAGTATTGAAAATTTGAAAGAGTATGTATTAAACAAGTTCAAAATATCGAAAACCGTAAGCGTAAAAGGATAATAAAGCATTCCAATAAATTATATTTATAACAAATTGCGTCGAGTATAATACTGGAAATAAATACAAGAAAGTATTTATGTATGGAGTGTAGTAGAATTATTTTACATCTGTGAGGACTGGCCAAAGGTACAGCAGAGAAAAAGAAATCTGAAAGTGTTTGAAAACTGTGGCGTTATCACTGATCGTTAAGAATCCGTGACGAAAGAGCAACGAAGTAATTATTTTCAATAGTATACAAGAAAAAAGGCAGAAACTATAGAGTATTTTAAGTAATTTTTAAGTAAGTATTTTAGAGTAATTTAATCCAGTACAGAGCATAATCTTAGACAATATCGAAAGCTAGCTCGGCTAAGATTGGAATACATGCAAATACTAAAAGATAACTATTATATAGAACAAAAAGAAACAAAATTAATACTTATAATTTGAAATGCGGTGCTATGTCTAGTCGGAATAGAATACCTATTTGAACAAGGAAGTGTTATAACACGTTGCAAAGAAGATTGTGAGCTTATACATAGGTACTGACTAAATCAATAATATTATTATTTGTAAGAAAATAGTAGAAAAATAAGGAGAACCAAAAATGATGAAAAGTTTTAGAGAGTCTACGGGTTGTTAACAGCCAGGAAAATTTGGAAAGTAGAATATATAGTAGTAACTATTAGTTTATAGTTATCGTTAATTATCGCTATAATTATCTAATCGTTCTTTCGTTTTCGCGTCAGTTTATTTGATCTAATTAACGTTATGAATAGATTATTGTATTATTTAATTTATATGTAAATTATAACAACATTCTGATATCACGTACTATAATGTCATTTTTTTTTGTTTGTTTCAGGTGAGTTATTTGTAAACCTTAATGCATATTATGGTACGCTAATCGTGTAAAAGAAGAAAAGGGAAAAATCTGGTCATACTTCGCACCGCGGGTGTAGGTGAAAAGTTGTAAGCGGAAAGTAGGAAAAATAGGAGTCCATATATGGGATAATTTAGTTTATATAAATCGTTGCAAAACAAAAATAAAAAACTACAATGAAAATCGAAAAATAATCTTTACATAGATGCACACTGACTAGACGAAATTTAAATTTTTTTGCAAAATCCGTCCCCGGAGTCGATGGCCAAAGAATGTTTCTGGTCGAAAAATCGATTTACAGGTACAAGCAAACCTAACCTCTCCCGGCCAAAAAAAAAATAATCCGCCATTATACTATAGTGAAACCAATATGCATTTCCATCGCTTTGCTCGGAATCCCCCCCAAAAAAAAAAAACAAAAACTAGTATACTTATAATACAACGAAATAAAAATATGTATTGTCGGAGAGCGCGGAACGAGGCTGGGCGTGATTATTACCCGAAAGGTATAAAATGAAAAAAAAAAAACCGAAAAATAATAACAACAACAACGCAAGACGGCCAACAAGTGGGTGGAGATACGAGCCTACTAAATTACGGGTTACCATCGAGGATTTTTTTTTTTTTGTACATTATGTACAAGAATGTCCCGCGCGCGCGCGCGCGTAAACCGGCAGGACGAAAATAATAATAAAGTATATACACTTAAAAAATACGTGTTCTCGTGTTGTGTTTACGAAAATTCGTCGTGTACGCATTCGGTATACTTAATACACGCACGCGACCCTACATCAAATATTATAATAAGTAGCTTTCCCCCACCCGCACCCCTCAACACCCATACGTATATTATAATCGCGTTTTAAATCAAACTCGCCGGATCGTCGTGATGTGTCACCGAACGGACCTAAAAAAATATATTATCGTTTTTTTTTTCTCACTCCGCTTTTTCTCGAATTCTATAACGATAATAATCCGAGTTTTTCACGGTTCTTAACACTTTTACGGGCCGGTTTGCTCGCACGGTAAAAGGATTAAAATATTATACTAAACTCGTATATAATAACGCGGCACACACGACACGGAGAGACGCCGAAATTGAAAACCCTTAATAATATGTGGTTTTTTCGAGAACATAAATATTATTTAAATAATATTATTCGATCAAGAAAATTAACGGAACCAACGGTGTTATTGGGGAAAAACAATAACAAAAAATTAGTCAATGATGCGGTGACGAATACGTCTGTGTCGCTGTTTGAATACTGCATAATGTTCGGATCTATTACTACACCACCGCGAAGCGTCACGGGAGGACAAAATATCACCGACTAAATCAATTATTATTGTATTAGAACAAAGTGATTACCAAACAGTAAGCTCGATCCGACGAAAACTTAAATGGTTCATTATAATACAAAAAAATTAAAAAGTCCAATAAAAAATGTTTTATCGATTCGTGGAAAATAATTTTACAAATAATTCATAACGAAATAATTTATTATGTACTTTTTTATATCGAATCGAAAAACGTCTAATCTGATCTGATTTACTACCTGATTTACTAGTCTAAGTGTGTGTGTGTGCGTAAGTGTAAGTGAGTGTGAGAACGATTTTATTTATGATTTGTTTTATACCTGGTGGTTTTTTTTTTTAAACCGCGATCCAGCGTTTTACGATATTTTTCAAAATGTTAGAGGGGCCAAATACAAATAATAATACTCTGCTCGGAATCGTTTTTTGTTAGCAATTATTATTGTTGATCAATTCTAGATAAGATATTATCATTATTTCTGAAAGTATGTTAACTCTTATCGGGGTTTTTTTAGACAATTTTAGAAACAAACAACTTTATAAAATGTCGTATTGACGTTATTTTTCAGGGTCAAACCATTGCCCACTTTTGATTTTCTCAAATAGCTATAACTGTTTTAAAAATTCCACAAACAGATGCGATTTTAAAATTTCCGTCAACTCGTTGACGAGATATTCCACATTTAAACTTAGTTACACTATTCAAACGTTACCCCCGCTCCCGCCACACAAATGATGATCTGCGGAAGAACGGGAATTAAAAATGTCAATATCGAAATGTATTTAAACTTAAACTTTAACCTGTTTACGGAAATTTTAATACAGGTTGTTATTTGAATTTCATCCTCCCACTCCCCGTAAACGGCAAACTAGAGTGACAAAAATTAACGGTAATGTAAATTAATTTGTAATACATTTCAGAGCTGCTTGAAAGAAACACCGATGACACGACGAACGATAATGTTTTTGACTTTAAATTTGATAACGGGTCAGCTATTATCACTCTAATATTTAAAACTAACAGCGCAGAACGTGTCTCCGCGGATATAATGTTCTCTTAATGCACGAACTCGGAATATCGTTTCCGTCGTTATCGTCGCAGGATCGGAATATTGCATTATAATTCTATAGCCGATTCGGTATTACCTACACTGGTAATAATAATTATTGCATGTAGGTATTATAATAATAGTACTGCGGCGTGTATATATCATGTACGAGCATATAACGTATACATTTTGCAAAAAGGATGCCAATATAATTTCGTAACAAACGACCGGTTTTCGGCGGCCACGGCGTCGCGTATTTAGATGGATACGATACGGCGGGGGCGAGAGAGGGAGGGGGTGGAAAACGGGAAGGAGAATTTAAAAATAAATATGTAAAAAAAATAAATAAAAAACAAACCGCATTCCGACCGGTCTCTTTGGATATTGTACATACATATTATATAGGTGCCTATGGTAGGTGTACTATGTACATATATATATATATATAATATAATATATTATACACTCGGGATCTCGTATCAGTCAAACATTTAGTTTTGTTTTTTTTTTTTCATTATTATTATTTAAACGGAGGGAGATAATATAATATCGATATTATTGACAATGATGTATACGAAACGAAACAATGAATTAAATAACGACCCGTGCGTCGAGTCGAAGAGGTTCAACGAATATAAATATATCGGTAAAAATGTACGATAATAATATGTTGGGCGAAGTCCAAAAATATATTTTCGTCGAAAATTCCACACAAAAAAAAAAAAAAAAAAAAACCACTTACTTATAATACATCGTGCGCGAAAAACAATATTGTCAATTTCCGAACAAATAATTATCCGAAATCGCAGCGTACGAAAAACATTCAGAAACATTTCGGTTCGGACCCGACTGCGGAAAAAAATAACCAATTGTACAAAATTCGAAACGTTTTTCACGTAAAACGTCGCTGCAATATTCGAAAAACTTATGTATACGGGAAATTCCATTGGTTTTAGTGTATTCGACAAAAATCGGTTAGGATTTCGACGTCTGCGGGTTCGCGATTTTTGAAAATCGAACCCTAACAATTAGTAGATCACGGACTTTCGCTAACAATACCAAGGCACCGGAATTTTTTTATATCTCCAAACGAATTTCGATTGCACCGACTGCAATAATTATTTATATATTCGTTTGTGTCACGAGAGTTCGGGTGATTTTTTTTTCTCCTTTGCCGGTTTCGTAATGAAATTCCTCTATAAGTTTTATTTGTAGGACAAAAAAAAAATACTGGTATATAAAAAGTAATAATCTCCAATGCAACATGACAGTTAAATATTAAGAAATTAATATCTTATTAATAACTCAATCGTTATAAACATTTTACCGTACGATTTAAAATAATAATTCTGAGACGTATATATTATATTTTCGATAAATCGACAATTTTCACGATTGTTTCGACGCTAATCGACGCATTTTTACAAGGATAATATCATATTATTGGACAATCGGAGTGTGTCTAAAAATGCAAATAGCATTGCTATTGAGTAAACGGTTGATTTTTAATTTTTTCTTTTTTTTTTTTTCAAATTTAACACCGTTACCGCGGGTATGCCGAAATAATTACATAATATAAACTAGACGCGCTTATATAACTAACAGTATATAACTATACAGTTTATTGCTATAATACTGCTATATAAAAAACTTGTGATTTCGATTGAAGCGGGCGGCTGTCGTTTAATTCGACCATAATATTCGGGCACAGCCATTTTTCGCCAAAAAAAAACCGGGTTCCCAATAATTCAGCGTAGCCCTTTTCCGCCAAAAACGAAAATGGTACGGTTTCCGTTTCAGTCAAAATCTATTTTGTAAAGAGACGTTTCCGCCAAATATTGTTTTGAAATTGTGCATACCTAAAATGTAAGCACTAATACTTTATAGTAATAACGATATAAGTCAATAATTATAATAATAGTAAAAGTTTAAAAAATCACGCAATTAAATGAAACCGTTTTAACAAAAGTGTATACCTACTACATTAGGTATTCTTTGGCTCTTCGCAATATTTGTTATATTATTATTAAATTATCGGTTAAATGATATTGACTTGTTACAATAGGTTACATTAAACTAAATGAACCTAGATGTTTTACAAATAAAAATTAAAACCATTGGTTTCTAAAACTATTTCAACGGAAACGGGAATCGTAAATTTTTGGTTTTTAGCAAAAAAGGACTGTGGCGAAAACGGGAATCGCCCGAGTATTTGTATATTGTATTTATAAGTGATAAACCCAGAGTTCGGGACTCGTAGCGCTTAAAATGCTTCATAATCGTTTGAAAAAAACTTTATTATACTAGCCCTGAAATAACCACGTGGTAAATATTTTAAAAAGCCAAAAAAATCGGATAGAAAAAAAAATTATTTTTTCTGTTTCATATTTGAACTGGTTGTAACATGACATACATTTCCACAGCACCCATATATACAATATGGCTAATTAGTCCCTTCAGGGAGTCTTCCTTCAAGTGCGAAAAAAAAACGATTCACCAAGTTATGTGTAGTGTGTGTATTTTGACGGAGTTTTTAAGCTTAGTTTTTTACTGGTTTTTAATTCTCTATACTTTTCCCGAGTTATTATCGAACGTAAAATCGGTAAAAAAAACCTATTTATTTTCTTACAGATTTTTTTCAAGCGAAATTTAAAAAATCGTACGAGTGTGATTTTTCAAACCATATAATTGTACATATAAAATTATGTATAATAGGTTTAATCGATACTAAGTTAATATTTCACTTAGAGTACGCGTTTCGCGTGACGGTAACGGTAATAATTGCTATCTATTATTGTTAGTTGTTACTATAATAATGTATTATTGTAATTTTACACAGAAACAACGGCAGTTATTATCGACAAGTTATCGTGACGTATAACGTATATTATGATGCCAGCTTCGAATCAAAAACAAAGTATTGTTACTTCACGCCTTATCAGACAAATCTGTTTAATTCATCGGTCTTTTCTATATTATATGCATTATATACATTATCTATGTACATACAACAGTATTAATAATCGTACGAAAATAAAGAGATATACGAAACATTCCTCTATATAACTAATACGCGTGGATTCGGGATTCGGTGTATTGTGTGCTTGAATACTATACGTATAATATATAGTTACCAGAACGGTAAAATGCGGTTACGGAATACGGTCGTAGTTTGCGTTAACAATCTAATCAACTCCGTGTTTTGATAAGCTCGTCGTTGATAATTACGATTACGTGAATTTTTAATGTATACCGTAACCATTGTGTTGGTAACCTGCTTGTATTCTTTTCGGGCAAACTCGAATACAATATATAATATAGCGTGGTCCATCCGTCTCTTTATTACATATTTATTGTATTATCTATTATGGTAATAATCCGAATAATCGGTATTGTCTCTAGTGCATTAAATTAATCTTGATATGTGCATGCGGGTGCGGTGCGGATGATAACTTTCTTTTTTTAATAATATAAATAACAAAAAATACACAAGTAGTTTTAGATTTTCTAGTGCAGGTGCACGGCGATAACATTTATAACGCACCTGCGCCCTCTCAAAATATCCCGTTTACAAATAAAAATGCACGTAACACTGTTATATAATAGGTGGGAAGTTAGTATAACGTAGGATATATCAGCTGTATAATGCATCGATAAATTTTGTTAATAATTCAAAACATCAAAACGATTTTTAGCAAAGTTCGATCAATTACGTTTTAAAAAGTACCTCGATGTTTACGATGTTTTTTTGTTCATCGAACACGCTCACAACAAAAATTACTATTAAGGATAACTTTTTTTCTCCACCACTAAGTACAACTCATGGTGAATCTCGTATTTTTTTTGATGGCTTTTCGGGTTTTTAACTTGAAGACTCTTACTCCGATCAAAAACTTTATCAGAACTTTTTTGTAGAGTTTTGAATTTAATTGATACTTTAAAGAGGTTAAGATACTCAACCATTTTCGGAATAATGGAAAACAATCGAACATATCCAATCAGGAATCAGGTGCCACACACACCCGAATTTTGAACTCTTCGTATTACTATTTGGTTTTTAGTATTTCATGATTTTTTCGAAAACTATTACAGCCTCAATCAAAACTACGAACAAAATCAGTAAATAACTAATCAACTAGACGTAATTTGCAAACCCTAAAGTTCATGGAGCGAGACTTCTGGTAGAAAGTTGTTCAGAAAAAAAAATACATCATGTTACACCCGAAATCTGTCATAACGAAGAATATAACCTAATCTTACGATCGATTATTTCATTTCAAATGATATAAATGTGTTGCATGTAGAAGGCGATAACAAATATTTGACTATGTTAATTTGAATGCTTGTAAAATTATAACAGTACAAAAAAAACCGCGATTCACGAGTGTGCCACGTTGTAGGCGTGATGTAATTTAACGCGTTTAAATGCGTGATTCGGGTGCATGTGCATTGTGCACGGGCCTGCACGTCGTCTTCCGCACAGTCAAAATTTACGCCATTGCGGCAGATTACGGATGTTCTTTGTGTAGGTTTTTTTTTTCAAAAATCATTTTCCGTGTAAATTTCCACGTGTCGGTATGACTTACTTATGACTTACGCGCACTTGCAGTATATTATACAATCTCCTCTCTCGTGACGTGTGTAAACTCCGTATCGGGTCACCACTCACCGGGGTAACGGAACGTCGCCGCTCGCCGTGCAGTGGCGTGTAAGCGATTTTTAATCGTCCGCCGCACGCCCACCGCACACTTGCTATCGGGTGCACGCGTTTAATGTGAACACTATAATATACAATAATATCGTATACAGTGTGTAGTGTATTTGCGTGTACCTACATAATATACAGCGTGTACTCATTGCTACGTGTACATCTCGTCCGTCCGCGCGAGTGTGCGTGTACGTATATGATGCAGACTCAATGGAATGTTCCGGCGACGGGTGTTGAGGGCATACTATTATTATTATTATATAGCCGCTGCCATCGGGTGAGTCATACCGCGGGACATGTCGGCGGCGACGGCGGTGACCACGGATGCTGTACAATATTATGTATGTACGTACGATCATCGCTTCTCGGATAGAAAAGGTGCAGCAGCAGCAGCGGTGCATACGAGAAAAAGAAACACGAGACGATCGGGTGCTGTACGGAATCGTCCGCACACGAAATATCAATAACGATCTGCAGTGGCGTGTCCGAAACGCTGAAAAATTCGCACACATATTGCTGCAAATACTCGCGACAAATCGATAACCGTTCATAAAATCCCGATGTTTCGTTTCAGTTTCCTCCGAAACGCGACGGTGATACGATTTTTTTCGTCGCCAATGTGTACATGCCCATTTTATTTTCCCAGTGTAAAGTTTACCACACTTTGTAGTTTTATTTGTCCTGAAATTAAAAAAATCAATCCAGCTCCGCGTCTTCCGACAGTTGAGCTGTCGTATTTTTTTAACTCGCAACTTTTGAATACGCTAATTGCGTTGACTTGCACTCCGCCCATCCCCTAAATAAAAGTCCAAAAAACTGGTTTTACCGTATCGCCAACCCCGTCAACGTCAAATTTTACACGCGCTCGCGTATTATCGGTTATTTTATTGTCGTTTTATCGGGATTTCCCTCCCACCTCATATATTTCAATGTATTTTTTATTTAATATTTACGGGTGTGTATTAATCAGTATACGACATCGACCACATCATTTTTTTTTTTTTTTAAACCAGGAGCGGTCACCCTAGGCGGTCTTGTATTATTTTTGTTATTATATAATATTGAATCTCGCGTGACGATGAAACGGTCTCTTATATATATTTATAATTTATATGCTTACCACGCACAAAAGGCGCGGGCAATTAAAAAGAAAAAAAGAAACACGACGATGACGAAAAATTCGTTTCCCCCTCCCCCCTCTTTAACGTTCAACCCCGGGACGAAAAAAACGAACCCTCGAGCGCGCGTTAATCGGTAGTACAATATAATAACAATAATAATAATAATAATACTCGTATAACATTAATGGTTAAATACGATTTTCGTTAGGTTAGGTTCGGTTTTTAATTTACTATCCTAGGCCGCGCGTACGAGAAACCGGTTGTATGTGCGCCGCAATCCAAGACTGCACTCGACGCACTGCGACGGGGTTGTTGTTAGTACACCTCGTATATATACTCGTTTACGTCGCGTCCTATACGGTAATAAAATATTATAAATATTATTAAACCCTCCTCGGAGAGAGCCACCTGCGGCCCGAGGAGCCTGCCCCGAGTCCGTTCGACAGGTGCTCTCTGGGCCCGACCAACACGTGCCGCTCCACCCCCTCACCCCTCCCCCGCTTTTCTCCTGCGGTTCATCTCCCCGCGGTCTTCGTCGTTGTCGATAGAACGATACGATTATAATGCGCCGTGTCTTTTTCTTTTATTTTTTTTTTCCGTCTCGTGTACGACATGGCAGCGGCGATCGTATTACATTATATAGACACAAGTGTATATAGACGAGTCTCGACGCACAACAATATATTATTATTGTTTTTGAGTTGCCCTCGAAATGCCGCTGCGAGAACACTGTGATTATGGTAAAGGATTTTCAAAGTACAAAACAAAAAACTACATAAGCAGCAGAGGAGCGCGCCACTATATGGTCGAATGTTCAAATCTCGGCCGACATGCTGCCGTTACGTTATTTTGCGTTTTGTTTTTTCTAATTGTAAGAAACTGAACACCAAAAGTTTTATCGATATGGATAATCAATAGTTCTCGAGATTTTTTTTAACACGCAATAACAGCCGGCGTGGTCAGGAGTTGAAAGTTCAAATCTCCTAAAGGCACAACCTCGACAACAGTTCTATAGTTCTATTTGAATATAGATATTTTTACCAAGTAACTCACTTTCTTCACTCTATAAGTGTACTTAAAATCCGGTAAATCCTTTGAAAATATCAAATCTGAAAATAAAAATTATTGGGAAGGGGGTTGAAAGTTAAAACTACCAAAAAGTATATCCTTGAAACTTATGTCGTGCATAGACAAAATGCCATCCCTTTACCATCATTTAAAGAGTTTATAGTGGTGCATATACAATTTTAAAAAAAACCATCTCCCCCTCGCAATATGGTGAAATTCATTTCGAAATTTAATCGAAAACTTATTACTTGAATACGTCTAAAAAAAAAATAACTCAATTCCCGAGTTAGAACTCTTTTAGTCCCGAAGTTACAAAAGTTTGAATACATGAACTAGTCGCTTGTAGTTTTTATGAATTTCTGCACGTCGTTTTGTATTTAGTTACCTAGAAAAAAAAAATAAACGTATATACAGGGTGTTGATAAATCGCCTGCAGGAATAATTCTGTAAAATAACGAGGTATACGAGTACGTATATTTACAGTGATTCGGCTATAAAAGAATAATCGGTTTTTTCGCCTATAATAATACACCGTATTATCGTTCGCTCGAGACCGCTTAATTCGCACACGAAAAACAGTTACGATAATTGTTATTATTTATATTTTGTATACAAAAAAAAAAATTATGAAAAAAAAAATCACGCGTAGTGCTACGACCTTCTCACCTATTATATTTATTATTATGACGTGATTATCCGCAGCTGCAGTCGATGGATATAATATTATATATGTAGGTACTGTGCAAGAGGAAAGATTAGAAAAAACGACACGAGTCTCCGCGCGATATAATATAATAATTATTTCACTGTGAATAGCGTGCCGGAGACAATAATGGCGGTGTATTATTATGTTGTTGTTGGTCCTTTTTTTTTTTTTTCGTTTGTTCGTAAATCTCTAAAAGTGATATAATTAAATACACGCAGCGTTATTGTGCTATGGACGAAAACAACAGTATTATTATTATATTAATCTATTATGAGGACGATAACAGAGAGTTCGGGAAAAATTGTTATTCGTAAAATGTAAAGAAACAAATAAAAAAAAAAATCCAAAAACCAACAACAAAAATTTTCCTTTAGCTTCCAATATTCTACTCGGCCATTAAAATTACGATTAACGTATTTATTTGTTTCGGTGAAACGGAGTAAAAATTACGATAACATTATCATAACGATTTCCATCTCAATTGTTATGTACAATAATGACAACAATTATTCTTTATGGATTTTTTTTCGAAAAATGCGATTATGTCGATGGCGTGTTGTTAATACGCTACAGGTCGATTATGCTTATTATCATCACCGATATCAAACTGCAGTTAGTTCTTGTTATATTCGAAAACAATTATTTTTCGGGAAATTGTGTTACACACAACTCTATACTAATATACACGAAAAGGATGCCGGTTTGAAAATATTATAAAACGATTATTGTTAAATGATTCTATGTATAACGACTAGAAAAAAAACTAGACTATTTCAAACGGCTATAAAAAGTTTAAAATTCGCTTGACGGTTTTTGATAACCGTACTACGCCCAGAAAACAGAAGTATTCGGTGAAAATTTCACGTCTCCGCGGTTATTCCTGACCGAGTTACAACAACGAAAACATTGCGTACGTTTTTCCCGGTTTTTCACAATTACTTATAGCGAACAACGAAGAAAATTAAAATATTAACTCCCCGTTGCACCGACTATGACCAAAATGTTCCCGTCGCTCCTAAAGTTGACGATCGGAGCAAGTTTTCCGGTAGAAACGTCGTTTTCATACGGCGAAAAAATACTTCATATATAGAATCTCAGAATCTAAAATCGAAACGTACACTGCCGTATATCCGTAGGAAACCACCGTTTAAATAGAATCACCCTGTATAGTCGAAAATCTTTTCTTCGTGAAGCGCTTAATCATACAATATATATTATTCTCATTATACGCTGTTATTGTATTCGCTGTTTATTATAATAATCGGTATCGCTATAATACGTATGTATTATACGTCCCGTGTATAATTAAATAATATAACGCGACTATTGTTATCTGTTCGCGTGGCGTAATTTCAAATTAATTTATCTGGTGATGATCAACATAATAATATATATATATATATATATATACCAATATATAACAACGGACGCGTCATCGTCGTGATGTTTATAAGTGTATTGAATGTAGAAATATAATAATGCAGTCGTCAATAGTCGACGAAATCACGAAAATAATATAATATTACGGATAGATGTTTTGGAATAATAAATATTTCCCCCGCCCCTTTTTTTTAAAATGTGAATTCGAGTTTAGACCCCACCGAAAAAAAAAATAAGCGAACAGGTGAATACATGAATTGTAACAACCAAAATAAAAATAAAAAAGCTGTCCGCGGAGGAGAGAGTACATAATCTGGACGCTCAAAGGAGGGCGAAATGGAAAAGACCATTGGACAACCATTAGATGAGAGACGGAGAGATGAACCGAGAGATCTCCGAAGACTTTATAAGCGAGTAATCCGAAAGAATAATTGACAAACAATAGAGAAGAATGGAATAGGTTGTGTGAAACAGCGATGAGGCCACTGCAATTTTGGTCCAATTAACGGGCAACATAGCAAACATTATATTACTTAGAACGTACATTTTAGCGTTTAAGTTGGAGTTTAAACACAAACATCAACATTTCAAAAAGAGTGTATTTTCGTGGGATGTACGTAAATTTTATTTTCTGAATGATTTTCGTACAAAAAAGTTACAGATATTTAAAAAAAAACGAGCATTTTCTGTATGAGCAGAGCCCTTTGAAATATTCTCCTTTTATAAATTTGGTTATATTTAAACTTCAATTTACGCTGCGATTTACGTTCGAAGAAACGTAATTTTTACTGTGTCGCCCGTCAGTTAGACGCTGGGACACAGTAAATGCGGATGTGGCGTCCTTTTAAACGACATTTGAAGTTTAAGACAGACGGACAAATTCGAATTTACCGTGCATTTGGAATATTATATTGTACTCTAAACCGTTCTTTGTACGCTAAGCTACGAATAATTTCAACGCACCGAAAATTTGAATGATAATATAACGAACGAGTCTCGTATACGTTTCTACGGGATTGTAACACTATAAAAAACACACACATTTATAATGAAACGACGATACGATCCTTGACATTGTACTTACTGTATGGGCGGCGGCAGCGGCGGTGGCGGCGGCAGTAGTTTATATTCGTATTAAAAAATCGAATCGAGCGGAGGCAAAGTGGCGTGTGTCCGTGACCGAATAATACCGTGCCCGACCTATTATTTCGGACTCCGGATAAAATATTATATTATAATCCTCTTTTTGTCGGGATCGCGGTAGTTTTTCTTTTTACCCCGTATATACCTATAATTGACCGACGCGTTTGTGCACTCTCCTACAGTATATGTACGACTATACATACGACTGACCGTAATATAATAATTAAGTCCGGACGCATATGGTAACACTTCAAATAAACCAGAAAAGTGCCGAAAATCGTAAAATTATTGCCCGTCCAAAAAAACGCCCCGTTAATCGACTTTGTAACTCGTATAATATAATATTTCGTTTCCGGATCGTGATTTACGATATGATATAAAACCGATTTACTTATATTGAAAACGGAATACCTATAATATCATATTAGATTAACTTTTCGTCCGTTTCAAATAACGAATATGCCGTAAATAGATAAAACACATTGTATAAAACTATAAATATCAGTTAAAACTCCGAGTAATTTACTCGAATTGTCCGTTGAAATCGTCAACGGTTCCTAGATCTATCTGTTTCGCTCCGATTTTCCCGCGCAGGACTACCTCGCGAAAGATGCAAAATCCTGCGATACTAAAAAAAAAAAAAAACAAACAAACAAACGACAATCCTACACCGGGCGGTATTATTTTTGTTGATTTCTGACTACCGACTTACAGGTTTTCCGCGCCTCGTTCAAAATCGTTTTGTTTTTATAGCGACGATTTATGAATTAAATCATTATATTATTATGTACACGTTATGCTTTCCCCGTATTTCCCCTCCCGTACAACAATGGCCTACCCCGCGACACGACGGTGCGTATTTATGTCCTGCAGCTTCGGTCGTTATAATATGATTGAACGCACAACAATACTCGTGTACCATTACAAAATATAATTTTTCGACGACGACGTTTGTAATGTACACACGTATACTGCGCTCGGTTAACGTCCCGGGGAAAGTCGTGCTGTCGCGTCATACGTACTTATATTATTATTATTATTATATCGGCTGCAGGTAGTAAAAACCGCTGCGGCGAGTCGTATACCTAGTAGTATTATAGTTGTCAATACGCGTATACCGCGGTGACGTCTTAATATTATTATCGTTGTTATTATATTGTTATTATACGATTTCACCGAGTCGGCGAAAAGAGGGGGGAAAAAAATGAGAAAAAGAACCGGGCTTTTTATAATTATTATTGTAGCCGCACGACCCCGAACCTGAACCCGATAATTGCCAGTCGCGCGGTGACACATTGCCGTCACGTCGCGGTGTCCGATTCCCGTCACGTCACACGCGAAACCCTCCGCTAGACGACCGTAGAGGTAGTTACCCTTTCCCACCACCGCGGTAGTGTATAACATGGGTATAGGTAAACTCTACCCGTTCACGATATCAGGCACATCTGTCACACGGCTACAAACTGTTGAGGTTCTTTTTTTCCTCCCGTTTTCGATCCGTAATCGTATACGATCTAACATACGTATTATTCGATAACCAGACAGGTTATCTCGTGTTATATCAGAGCCATATACCGCGGTATATTACGCGATGATAACGACATTTTGTCGCTTCTTTAGGGCGTCGGTGCGGTGGTTATTCGTATAAGACTCGACGAACAATATATTTTTTTACTTGTTCGCTTCTATCGGAGAAAATGTATACTTTTTTTTATCGGTTATCCTCCCCGTGAAAACCCGCCGGAAAATTTGCATACGAGAGCGGACGAACGGGTCCGCTGGCGCTTCCGTATCTTCCCACGTCGCCGGCTCCCATTTTACAGCAAATAAACCGGTTTTATAAGGTATTAAAAATCTTCCCATTTCGCCGACACATAAATCGATTATATTACTATTTTGAATTGAAATATTATTGTTGGAATGAGATTATTACTAAAGAAATGCCAGCGCCGCAATCGCGGCATGAGCGTCAGTAAATATATAAATTTAGTATTAAAATACAAAAACAGTTGAATTGAATCAACGATTATATAGATGTTCAAAAGAAATATTCTTATTTTTTTCATAATTTAAGTTTAGTACAGTTTTGCAGTTTTGTACAGTGACAATTTAAGAAAACTAGTGTAATCCCTGTAAAAACGATAACGAAAACGAGTTTTTTGACATGAGCTATAGTAGGATGGAATCATGAGTAAACCTACTTCGATAAACGTACGTCACAGATAAATATTAACAAAATAAAATGTTGTTGGCAAAATGGGAGTCGGCGACGTGGGAATGAACCAGCGCCTCGCACCCGACCCGTCTCGCTTTTATCCGGCTTTACCTGTTCTCCTTAAACGGGTATCGGACAGTAAGTCAGTGGAAAAATCATTGTCATTAACGTGGCCGTTTTAAATTATAATTTCAAATCGTACAAAAGTCGTAGACAATAATTCGGAAAACCACGGTCAATCTATAAAACTTTATAAATTTGAAGGATACAGGGAAAAAACAGAAAAGTCAACTGATAACCAGAGAAATGTCTCGTGGCTATATAATATGACATTATTGTTCTATGGTTACCATCATCAAAGTTTTAGCGTTTAATTTAGTCCGAACTTTTTACTTTGTAAACAAAAATCGTTACGTTTTGAAATTGAAAACACATTTTTCTCGGATTGACAAAAATAAGTGACTTTTCCGGTTTTTTCCCCGCGCCCTTCGTTCGAATAACGATAAAATAGGAGGGTATCCGTTATTTATGCCGACGATTTTTTCGTTTTTCAAACGGAATACCCTCGCGCGGATAACGTGTAAAATATTGACCGAGGCCAATAATAACGATGTTAGCGTAATGATAATAATACCGCCGTTACTTAGTATTATAATGATATGACCGCGGCGGTTAAACAATCACGAATCCGATATAAAACGCAAAACGGGAGATTGGCGAGCGTATACGATAGCAACTATACTCGAGGTACTGCCGCATCTATCGCAATCGTAAATATATACACCTGTTAGTAGTGTTTTTTTTTTTTTGCGGTTATAAAATTCGTCGTCGCAGTCGCATTACGAAACGTTCCGTTACGATCGTCGGGCGGCTTAGGTTGTAATAATATCGTATACTATATATAGGTACGCGTTACGATAATAACAACAACAATAATAGGTAATAATATTATATACGAACGCACTTCCGACGTGGAAAGTCAAAACTGCCGTCCTCGGCGCTCTTGCGGAACGCCATGTCCTCGCGCGTGCAGTCGCGCGCGGTCCCGCGTGAATTTCTTCCCGTTTCCTATGTGCGCGCGCGCTATCGTCGCGGTACGCGCGGAAACGGATCGACATCGGGGCAAAACCTAGGCATTTTCGCGATTATAATGGGCGTATCCGCATCGTAGAACATAATTACGTATATATACGTCGTGTATTTTATACGTATAATACGTATATATATATATCTCGGGAAACGTCATATTATCGTTATAGCGGCAGGATTACGCGATATTTTTTTTATCCCCCGCGAAAACAATTGACGCGATATGTTTACCGTGTTTTAGCTGTGACGGCGACGATAATAGATTAAAAAAAAATTTATATATACGCGTTTTAATAGAATAGGATCAATAATATAACGCTACATATACAATAATATGTAATAGTATTGTGACATAATATAGTTGTGAAATCGATACGAGTATTCTGTGATCTCCCTCTCACTCCTCGTCCCGACGTTGAGAATTCGCGTTTACGGGAACGCTGCAGCAGAGAAATCATAGGATACGGGAAAGTGAACACGACCAAAGTCGCACAAATCGCTAATATATAGACTGCCGGAATGATTTTCAGGACGAAATAATGGCTGGAGTCGAAAACCCGCACTTGTCGAAAAACCCTGCGAAATATGAACAGAGTTAGGAAAATGTGCGGTTGACGCACGGGGTGTGGTAAACGACGAAGAAGCCAATTGAGAACTCCTAACATGATAAACGCATAATACAATGTATATATCGTCAATATATACTCGTGATTCGACTGATATCGAATGCCATATCCGTAATCATGTAATATCGTAGTAACCGTTTCGACTATCAATCGTGTCCCAAATAGGACGAACGTATTCCCGACAAGAGGCGTCTTATTGTAATAATAATCGCCGCAGGATAATCGAATACGAAAAATACGAAGTTGGACAGAACGAAGAACAAACGGTGAATTAAATGAAACCGGAAAGATGTTCGGTACGATTAAAATTAGAAGATGCGATCTGATTTGACGTGCTCCGAGTCATGAAAACGATGATTGTTATTATTATTGTTATTATTGCTATACAATGAAAGATATTTAAAAGGACGTGCGCCACAGTAAATTTTCGTTCAGCTGGGACGACTTTGGGCCATTTATGTTTGTTTTAATATCAGAGTGAATTCGCCTACTCTCGTATCACCAAACTTAAAGATAAAAATATTATCCGTGCAGTGTTAGCATGGTTTGTCCGATATTTGTATTTCCAAGCGAGATTAAAGCATTGTTATACTATTGTGATATTTCACGTACTCGTATCTTAAAAATTACACAAATACATCTTTAAGTTTGATAACGGGGCAATTCTTTATAATACTAAAACCGACGGCACAATTTCGCTAGATAATACGTTTTCAAGACGATAGAATCGTGCCCTTTGAATGGCAAAAGAAACCGCGAGTACGACTAAGAACACCGTAAAATATTAAATATTTCCGAAATCGGGCAAAAAATCTACGGAGTATCGAAGAGACTGCGGGGAGCAGAGAAGATATTACGTACATTTTACTTCAAAACCGACATTCGAGTCGAATACCGCGGAAAGAAAAGAACATACACCGAAAACTATAAAATTATATTATCGACGAATATTAACCGACTATCGGTTTTTTCGTCGAGTACATACTTGTTGTATACGTATTATGAGCGTCCGGGTGTAACGTTTTAATTCTTTCTTCTTTCGTTCGCGGGGCCGTTTCACACTGTCATCGTAATAATGTATCGGTACGCATATAATAAGAGCGGCTCGTTAATAAAACGACCGATGCGATCGAGACGAAATGGCTACGCAGCAACGAACCGGTGGCACGGCGGCGGTTTGTGTAGTAAATGGACTTACGACTTACTTTTTTTTTTTTTAGTTTGTGTAGTGGTTTTTAATTGAATCGGACGATGGTTAATGAACCCATTACTACAATGTATAAACAGCATAATATAATACTCTTTGGGTTGTCGTGTGTCCGCGAGTAAATTACTACTGTATTATACTTACATAAATTATTATACATTACTTGCGCGGTATCGTACTCACCGTGTAAGGAACTCACACTGACAGACGACAAAATCGACGGACATCATTTACATCGTATCACACATTTTATTGTCGCAGTTACGACGTCGTTTTAGGGTGGGGTGGAAACCATAACTCAAGCATAACTTTCCACGGCGTCGAACTTTTAGCCTTTTAGTCTCAATTATCGGCATTTCGGTCTTCGATATGGATCATCGACAGATGATGAAGGGAAAAAATGCCAAAATAACGATAAAACCAAAACACTTAAACTTTGCCGTGCTCGTTAAAAACGCAAACAAATTAACTGATATTACAACTTTTAAAATTCTTTACGGCCTCAGCAGTATTGTAGGTATAGCTAGTGTGCCACGTGCCATACTTCACACTCGGACAACCGTGTTTATATTGAATTTCAGCACGGCTGATTTCTTGGTAGCACAACTAACGAGTGCAAAGTAAGATTTGCAAGTGGTTACCCTAAGCCTTAGGGCCTAAGGACAAGCAATAAAATGTAATTTTGTTATATTTTCTTCACGTTTTACAATATTTCGGGTATTATTTATCAACGACATCCCAAAAACAGATTTAAAAAGGTGGGTAAGTGAGGTATTGTTATGTGATACTGTTAAATTCGAGTGGACCCCAGTTTATATTTGACTTTAGGGTATCCGACTTCCGGACGTCTAATAGCACCATTGCCTATTCCGTCTGTTGGAAAAATAAATGCCGCCTCCACGTGCAATGCTTCTTCTCGTCTCCAATCGTTTAATTGGTTTGCTGCAGTTCGCATGACGAACATGCTTCTGTTTTGTAGCTCGATTCTTTTGGCTCCTTGTAATTGTCCTTAATATCGTGTCTATCGTGTTTAGTGTTTCATGAACTCCATCGTCTTTGGTCTTCCTCTTACAATACGACTTTATATGGCGCATTTCCTCGATCTACTATAACCAGTAAGTCACCCTAGCATTTCGTCCCTTCCGACTTGAATACTATGCGATATTTATCGGTTTTCCTTTTTTACTGTCCGGTACTTCGTTTGTAACTCTGCATTTTAATCCGTTTTATTTCGTATTCATATCTCGTTTGGAAGCGACCGTCCGACTATACTCAGGCCGATAACTTTTAACGCATAATATAGTACCTATACTGCGAGTTATTAGTTCTTTTTTCCGAAATCCGATCGCAATGGTTGTTGTTAACCATCACAGAGATGTCGAAAGAAATTTTTTTTTTGAAAAGAATGTCGTTGACCCGTCGTCGACGTGCGTATATTATACGTGTGTACACATTGTGTGCATGTGTGTACGAGAGAGAGAAAGAGAGAGAGAGGAATACATGTGTACGTGCGCAAACGAACAGCGCGGGGTTTTTTTTTTTTTTTTAATATTTTCGTCATCCGACGGCGACAAGTGCTCGCGAACTTCGCGGGCGCACACGCGATGCAAGTATACGTTATATACGTGTATTATAATAACACTAATAATAATAATATAAACGTGTTTATTACAGTCCGTATAGGTATATATATACACGGTAAGAGAGCAGGTCCGGTGCAGTTTTCGCCCGAGGGCCACAGACATATAGATACCGCGTTTTATATCCATAGATATTATATATAAGGTATACACCACATTTTATATATTATCACGGGTATGTGTGTGTGTGTGTGTGATGTGACGTGATGTGATGTGCGTGTGGTATCCGTAAGGTCGCGTATAGATCAAGCGTTTTGGTCGCAACGTCAAAAAAAAAACCGCAGCCGCGCATTCGACGGTGTCCGGTACGCGTGTTTACAAACCTTACCGGAGTTGGATCCCAGCCGAAACGTACAACCGACGAGTTGATTACTCAGAGTAGTATTACAATATATAGAAACAACACGAAATATAACCTCGCGGCTTGTCGACGCAAACTCGATTTTTCCTTCCTCTCCCCTCTCCCCGTGAAAATTGTTGTAAACCTATGAAACCGTTGCGGGTTCGGATAAAGCAGACTAGGAGAAACGGAGAAACTTAACCTAGCCGTTTCGGTCCGAAAACCCGATAGTGTTCCGAGGAAGTCGATGTCTTACGTACAGACGTTATTTAACAAACTGGCGATAAAAAGTGAAGTTTCAATTAATGGGCCTTATCGTCCGCTTACGTATTGTGATAACTGCTGTACATTCGTATCAGTGTGATATTGTGAACGATCGCGGTCTTGGTCACCGTGATTTCTATACCAAAAGCATTACTGTGATACGCCAATTATTAGCGATATATATTATTCTGTACAGTGCGATCCGCGATGATAAACCTCATGCCCAATGTCAACCTAACCGATAAAGTCGACATCTCCGGCACGCAGTGGCGCAGCCGTTGAGGGGTTTAATTATATTGTTTAGATCGCTTAGCAGTATTTTATCGTTCTTTAAAACTGCAGAAGTACCGGATTCAACGACCATGAGGTATTTTTTTTTTCTCGGAAAACGCTTTTTTCGTCAGTTGAAATGCTCCATGCTCCAAATTCTTCGCCTTGAAACATATGGATTTTCACCCGGTTGTACTTTAGTTTGAGACGTTTATCTAGACTCCGACGGATTTCTAAACAAAAATTGTGAAAAAAAAAACCCCCCAAACAATACCGATAATACGTCGGATTTATTCTTGTCGATTTATCCGCAACGGATACGGCGTTCTTGCGACGACGCTTATAAATAAATACGTGTCGTTATTCGGAATAATTCGCCCCGCGGAACGGGCGAAAATGACGAAAATCTAGAAGCGACAAAATTTTTGAAAACTGTTATAATTTCGCCTACGAAATTACGCCGTTCCAGTTTTCGTCTTCGAAATGTTAACTTTACCGAATTTTTTTCCGGTTAGTTTAGGGAAAATTATACGGCCGCGGCGGATTGCGTGGAGGGGCGGAAATCGCCCGGCCATCGTGCGCGGAGGGCGTCCTTGGGGCGGCGTACCCGCATCAAAGGGGTTGATCGCGGTCGGCGGCTGCGCGCGCGGCGGCTCATCGGAAATTCCCGGGCGCCGGTGAACCGTGTGCGCGCACCGTCGCGCCGTCGTCGTCGTCGTCGGTCGGCCGGGTACCGTCGCGCGGCGGTGGAGGGGCGGCTACGGAGTGGGAAGGCCGCGTTCACACACGCACACGCGCAACACGTCGACGCGCCCGCGCTCGTACACATAGCCGGCGGCGGGCGGCGAGCGGCTTCGGGATTTTTAATGGTTCGTCTGGCCAGTCGGATCAGTGTGTTACCGCGAACTGGTTGCGCGAGAACGTGCGTTGTCGTCGTCGTTGTTGCCGCGTTTTCTCGTCGTCGTCGTTTATTGTCGGGAGTAATCGTGTGCGTGCGTATTAACCTGAGTAAATCGGATGAGTTTCACTCGCGTTGAAATTTTCTATATCGTAAATTCGCGATTTTAATCGAAAAAAAATTCATTATAATATTTCCGTGAAGTTTCGTGTGCGGTTCGGGCGCGCGTGTGCGGTATATATACAAAAACTCGGTGCAGCTCTGTTTTGTCGGTGCGGTACGCTTTATCGCCTCTATCACTCTCTCTCTCTCTCTCTGGACTTTGCTCGTGATTTGCGCGCGGGGACGCCCGCGATATTGATGTGCCGGGCCCGCTGCGGCGATGTTCGGTTCCATCATCAATCGTTTCCAGACGTTCTCGCCGGTCACGTCGCCGGTGACGTCTCCGAAAATGTCCCGGCGCAAGTACAAGAGCCCGGCGCACCGGCGTAGTCTCAAGGACGAGTACAGGGACGTGCAGTCCGAACCCGAAGACGCGTGCTGCGGCGGCTCTTCGTCGGCACAGGTCTCGGGCGGCGGCGTTTACAGGCGCGGGCTGCAGCTCCTGTCGCACGACGACAGCAGCAGCTGTAACGCGTCGTCGTCGTCGTCATCGTCGTCCGCGGCGGCGACGACGAAAAACAACCGCGGCGGCCGGACCAACAACAGCAACAGCAGCAGCAAGCAGCTCCCGTTGAGCAAATCAAAATCGACGGCCCGGTTGGACATATCCGCCCCGGTCGCCGCCGCCGCGCTCGGCGACTATCACCGCCACCACGGGTCCAAGTCGATGGGCAGGCTGGACGGTCTAAAACAGGTTAATATTATTACCGTGTCGTTAAATGTTTAAGTTATTTTCCGTTTCATTCACACAGGGTGAAAAAGATGATATCTCGTTATCTCGTAGTAGTGTTTTTATTTGTGGACTTTCGAAATCGTAAGCCTCTAAAACGTATTTTCGGGGGGTGAAACCGTCAACTTTTGATTGTCCGCAAAATGCGACCGACGCGCTGTTTGCCAACCGTGTGTATTAAAAACTCCATAAATTGACAAATTTTTAGTTTAACTAGGTACGTTTAGATTAATTTTCGATTTTCAATGTTGACCGTCTCGTATGATAGTATTTTCGAATGCCGTCGTCCTCGTGTCGCTCAATGTTTTGTCGCGTTTTACTCAGAGTTTCCCCCCCCCCTCTGTTCGCTGTTCTAAAATAAATTACCCTGTGTATAGCGCTAATTTGACTCGCTAAAAACTTACGAAAAATTCCCCTAAAACAACCCTTGTAGCCGACGGCGTATCCGGGATTTTTCAACAGGGTGGCGGGGTTGAAGATAGTTAATTTATATTATATATTTATAATAACGCGAGTGAAATATAATCTAAAATCGATCGTACACCTCTTTCTGTTTCACCCGTTTCGCGTTACGTAATTGTGTAACACGAATTACGATTGTTGGTGTTCTATATCAAAGCCGATAGGGGAAGCGAAGACAGAGGACGAATTGCCCTTTCCCCGTCATTCTATACCGCATCGTTCGTTGTTGTACAGCTGCGTAAAGTCGCGGATTAAGGGAGAGCCAATAACTGTTTTTACATGTATAGTAAACACCTAATATACGACGTTTAAAAAAAAAAAATCCATGGCATTCGTGTGTAGCAGGTGATCTACTATAATTATAATACGTGTCAATAGATAATTTACTATCAATAATTGTGATAAATAATATATAAAAATGTATAGATGATCTTTATTGCTTTTTTTTTTACCGCAGACCTTCGCGATAACGTATCTCGTTTATACGAGAAGACACAAATATTTGATAAGAGTATTCGTAAATCACCTGTAGCTATCACCTGCACGAACGCCCGAATAATATATTATATTTTTAAAAAAATGTCTACTTTTAATTTTCAATATAACCTTCTCTCTGTTAGTTCTTCGAGAGCCTTGACCGTCACCGCGACTATTCATGCATCCATTATCGTTATCCTGTATATATTCTTCCCGCCGTCATAATCGATATTTCCCATCTTCTCCGGGTCTGACTCGTAAATGATATTTACGAGTCCGTTTAGTACGGATTAAAAGTGTTACAAGTACAAATACGGATATTGTTTTAAAACGTATTCGGAATAGACATACGTATTCGATTGTACTCCGACACTTCAGACATTTTTGAGAAGTATTCATAAATACTTTCAAACATTATTTTTAACGTTTTATCGGGTGTATTATTCAACAGTCGTTAATATTCGGGTTATATTTTTCTCGGATAATACTGGTTTAGGTATACCGGTACAAGTTGAATTTTTAAATCCATTTGACTTTCGATCACAACGCGTTCCGATTTAATATCGATTAATATGCGTGCGAAAAACAATTTCAAACTCGCTACGCTCGAAATCTAAAATATAAAAAAATTAAATATACGTTCGAATAAAACATTAAAATTCGCTAGGAATACCGCGTTTTAATATTTTCGTATGCATAATAGCATTCGGGATACTGAAAAAGTATGTTGGAATATTTTATTTTTTTTTGAAATTTAAACGCCGTTTTTCTCGAACGAAATCTGCCGACACCGATTACAATATTTCCTGCTTGTTTTTCTTTTGAAAAGTTATATTAGAGCCATTATAATTTCATGAATCCCGTTCCGAATACGCATGTATACATATATTATACTATTATACGAATCGCATTCGTCTATAAGACACGCGTATATTTCCGGCAGGCGGTGAAATGGAAAATCGCGATTTATCCGTTTACCCGTATTACGTAAATGCGCATTATCAATAATATGTCTAGAACTCTAACGTCTCCCACTCTTTCTCTCTCTCTTTTTCTCTATCGTTTTGCGTGCGGTCATCAAAATATTATCATTTCATTATGTCCGCGTGTTGTTTACACACGAATCGTCAATATTATTACCGTAATACAATATTGTCGGATAACGCGTATGTACGAAACGAAAGCTATTCGTATAATCCGATCTAATCGCGCCGCGAATACCTCTGCAATTTTTACATTATTTTTTTGAAAGTGATTATATTCACTATATAATAATATCGCCGTCGTTCTTGTACGACTATTATCCGTATTTGCGTACACATCGCGAATTGTGTAATCCGCGGTGTGGACGACGACATATATAGGGAAATTTATACAAGACACTCCGGCGGCTGCGACGGCGGTGTCGGAGTTATACAACGACGACAATGACTTTGTCGCGATCGACGACAACGAGAAACGTCAAACGACAATAAAAAAAAAAAAAACCTAAACAAAAATCGTTAAATAACTTTCCGTAGACGGCGGTTATTTTTACGGTGTTCGCTGTACCTACGTACCTGTATACAGCTACCTATAGTGACGGTCACGTATATCGTCGTAAGTGCCTACCTATAATAATATACGAGATACGTGTCGTGTTGTTGTTTTTGTTGTTTACGTAAAAATATTACGACGTTTGTGTGCGCCGAGACTGACGCGGGATACCCTTCTGTCCGGAAACAATCACTACTTCTTCTTCTTCTTGCGCTGCTGTTCCTGTTCCTGCAACCCCGCACTGTATAATATTATACGTGTATAGTGCACGCAGACTCGTTAGGATAGCGTTTGTTGTACTGCCCGTATTATTTCAAACATTGCCCGACGATCGATGCTGGGTATGGATTCGTTTTTTTTTTTTTTTCCATTTTTATTTTTGTTTTCCATTATCTATTATTATTGTTCCCGTGGGGAAACAAAAGGTAACCCCGAACGACGACGAGGGAAACGATAGGTATATATATCTAGTGTACGAGCGCGCACGTCGAGAAGTCGGTTTTTTTGTTTTTTATACACATAAAACATAATATGGTGCGACAAGAAGAAGAGGGGAGAAAACCACAACACACCGAAAACCGCGTAATTTGTCCGCCGTCTCCTGCACCGCCGCCACTGCAGCATCACTCGGTATCTGTGTGATGTACAGGGCGGTTCTCTTATCGTTATCGTCGGCCGATATAATATGCGCGAAGACTGTTTCGAAGGGGATATTTTGTGCTCCCCCCGACATTTCGGAATCGTTGAACTTTTTCTCGCGTCGGTTTTTTTCGGAAATTGTTATTCTTGCCACGACTGTGAGTGTGAGTGGCACATGTATAGACATGTATAGACATGTGCCACAAACGAGAGAATTTAGTATTTTATCTTTCGCCCGCTACAAAAACCGTACACTTTGCTGCTGTGAATCTGGATCTATAGCCAAGCCCTATTCATATACCGGACACAATCAGCTTGTTTCAGTTCGCGATGATAATAATATCAGTTAACTGCAGGTGTATAATTGAATCATCATCCTAATCGTCGAAATCCTACACCGGTCCAACAATAGTGCGAATGCACGTGTCTGTGTTTGGAGCATGAAAAAAAAAAAAAAAAAAAAAAATTATAACAAAACATTCCGTGGGGTCCCTGATGATGATAAAAACATTATCGATATCGGGTGTTTAGAAAAAAAATAAAAATCACCGGTACCGCATCGTTTTATAATAACCGTGGTTGATAGCCAAGAAAAAAAAAACGTAATAAAGCGAACG